TGGGGCCCACCCTGCTGCGATGTGCGTGACAGGAAGCTGCCGCAGCGGCTTCGGATACGATGCTTCGACGACACTTTCCCTGCGGTGCGAAGTAGGCATACCAGGCGAGACCGGGAGACGCCCGCCTGCGATGACGGCCTGTGCAAGACCATGGCATCCAAGTGCGTCCACGAATCCATCCGAGGCGCCCCGGCGCACCCGCCGTTCCCTACACGCGACGCCCTCCAAGCGACACCGGAGCCGCTCTGGTCCGCTCGTCGTCGTCGTCGTCCTCGGTTTTGTCGTCGTCGGTCGTCGTCGTCGTCGTCGTCGTCGTCGTCGTCGTCGTCGTCGTCGTTGTCGTCGTCGTCGTCGTCGTCCGTCGTCGTCGTCGTCGTCGTCGTCGTCGTCGTCGGAACCGCTCCGCTCACTACACGCGGAGGCCTTTTTCGAGAGCATCACGAAGCAGCAGGAGTTCCAGCAGCAGGTTGCGTGGCGCCCGCGCGCGCGCACCCTCCTCTCCTGGCGGGGTGTCCTCGCTGCCCCGGGCCCCTGCCCGTGTCGCGCTGGGAGGGGCCGGAGGAGAAGAAGGGGGAGGGAGGAGAGCGGGGGGAGGAGAGCGCTCTCAGGTCCTGGCGTTGCATGTTGTCTGCAACGGGCAACGTCGCTCCACTTCGAGCCTCGGGACCCTCACAGATCGAGCCGGCTCGAAAAGTAGGGTCCCGGGCGCCGGGCGTGATTTTTCGCGACTTTGCATTTTTGTTGGCAACGTCGGATCTCAGGGTGGGAGGGAGGAGGGTGGAGGGTAGGGCGGGGGGGGAGGGAGGAGGGTGGAGGGGAGGGGAGGGAGCAGGGCGGGGGGAGAGGGGGGAGGGTGTGCGGTGAGGGAGGAGGGTGGGGGGGGGAGAGGGAGAAGGGCGGGCGGGGGAGGAGCCAGCTGGGGGGTCTGGGGTTGCGATGCTTGGTCGGACGAGGGCTCCTGCAGCCGCCAATCCCAGCCCCGTCTCTTCCTTCCTACGCCTCATTTTTGATGCAGGCCGTCCGCGGAGGTCGAGGGCGGATCGTAGACAGACAACGGGTACGCCGCCTCCTCCTCCCTCTCGGGCCGCCCTCCTCCGTCGCCTGCCTATTCGATCATAATCCTCATCCACCTCCTCATCCTGCTTCTGGCGATCGCTAGGCGCAGGTCGAATGTGTCAGTTCTGTTTTGTCAGTTGCTTGCGACAGCTGACTTCCATGCCGCTCCAGCTGCCCCGCAGCGAAGGCTGCGGCAGTGCAGCCATTGACAGAGTGTTGGCCTTGAGGAAGCTGACGTCGACATGCAGACTGTGCGGCGCAGGCTGGGTGAGTTGTGGCGGAGTAGCGGCTGCCCTCCCGCTCGCCATCCGCGTCTTCGTCGTTTGCTTGACTTCTCTCCGACCCCTTCCCCATGGGGTGTGGGAGTGTTTTTTCATCTTCACGTTGTCCTCCCCATTCTCCATCCTCCGTAGAGGAACGACAAGAGGAGGCTGAGGCGCGGGAGGCCGAGGCGCGGGAGGCGTAGGAGGGGGAGGCGGAGGAGGTGGAGGAGGAGAAACAGGATGATGCTGAGGCGCAGGATGTGCAGAAGTGCGAGGGGAAATGATTCGGAGGGGGAGGCCACCCCTCCTCCTCTTCTTCCTCCTTCTCCTCCTCCTCCTGCTCCTCCTCCTCCTCCTCCTGCTCCTCCTCCTGCTCCTCCTGCTCCTCCTCCTGCTCCTCCTCCTCCTCCCCTTCCCCCTCCCCCTCCTCCTCCTCCTCCTCTTCCTCGTCCCCGTCCTCCTCCTCCTCCTCCTCCTCCTCCTCCTCCTACTCCTCCTCCTCCTCCTCCTCCTCCTCCTCCTCCTCCTCCTCCTTCTCCTCCTATGATGCGCAAGAGGAGGCTAGCATGAGCTGTCGTGTCTCCTCGTCATCACCCTCCCCATCTGGAGCCCGCGTTGGCTGGGGGAGGGAAGTTGCGTCTCTGACGCCACCCAGGCGCTACTGCTCCTCGTTGCAGCCGCGCACATGGCAACCGGGCCAGCGCCGAGGAGCTTGGCCTGCCTGCCTGCCTGCTCCGAATATACCCATGCCGTCTCCGTCTCGCCGAGCTCCTGGGGCGCGTGTGTCCGTCGGTGTCGTGGCTCGTCGTCGACCGCCTGCCCGAGGAGGTGGCTGGGCTGTGGGGGAGGGGGCATGAGTCAGGTGATCGCAAACATGGATCAAGGGGGCGTGGATTAGCGACGGGTCCCCTTTCCATGGGAAATCGCGGATTTCCGCCGCCGAAAGAGGCGGCACCGGCCGCATTTTGGGGAGGGCACCTCCCACGATTCATGGATTTGGCGACCGCTCGCCAAATCCATGGATCGCTAATCCATGCTTGCGCGCCCCCGAATGAGGGGCGTGCTTTCGGCCAGACCCTTGCGGCTCCGCAGGAAGAGGCACGGGTCCTGGTGCAGTGGGGTCCCGGAGGCCTCTCGCTGTCTTCAGGCTGAAGTCGGGCATGTCCCTCTACAGGAGGAATATCCAAGAATGGTAAAGACACGGTCTGGGGACGGTGTTTCAATTATTGTTTGACTAGTCTTGATTATTATTGGATTATTTTTTAGTTTTCCTTCAAAATCCGCCTGTAGAGGACACGGGTCCCGGTGCAGAGCGGTCCCGGAGGTCTTTCGCTGTCTTCGGGCTCCTGGGGCCCCCCTCCCCAGGCCGCGCCAGGACGTCGGAAAATCGGCTCGGGACGGAACGTGGGGCCCGGGGCCCTTTGCCAGGGCCATCTCGGACGAGCAGCCGATTGTTTCGGCTACGTGCAGGAGTGACCTTTCGCCGGAGGGACCTTGTTGGTGCGGGCCCACAGGGGTGGCCCCAGCACTGGCCCGCGCGCTTGGCTGTGGGCCCTTGGCGGTCCCCTAAAGCCGCGCATCAAAGGTCACTATTGCCCAGGGTCGCTCTTGCGCGTAGTCGATTGGTCGGGGGCGTCCAATGAGGGCGGTGATGACTGCGGCCGTGTTCCCGGTCGGCTTGAGAGTTTGGCGTGGGTTGCGGGGCCCGAGCGGGGCATTGCGCCCGCGCGCTCGCAGTGACGGGACGGGGTGGGCACTGAGGGGCACCAAAGGCCCTTCAAAAACCAAAGGTGGGCACCATAAGCCTACCACCACCAACGGAGGTACACCATATGTCCCCCACCCTTCATTCCATTTATCACTCAGTGAATCTATCATTCTGATGTTTCAACCTCTGTCCATTTCTGGGTGATCTCCCAGCGCAGCAAGCGGCCCCGCCCCCACCACCCGCACCCCCCTTAGAATCCTAGCAAGACTTCTGGCGCGCGGGATCCCAGGTTCGTCCCCAGGTAGTAATCTGATGCGGGTCGCCGCAAATTCCCGACGTGCAGATCAATGAATGTCAAACTCCCGCGCCACTGCGCAGATGTCCCTCGAATTTCCGACACCCGCAACGCGTCGCCGCGAAGCCTTCAGTGCGCCGATGTGACCTCGCCGTCATCACCCCCGACATTGGCCATCATCCTTGGTGTTGTCCCGTTGCGGAGAGCTCTGTCTCAAACGCACTCTGCTGCCACTGCGTACTCCTTGCTCGAGAGGATGATGTCTGCGCGTGACCAGGTGAAGCGGGCCCTCGTTTCCTTCCCGCGCGGGCGCTGGCGGCGGTGCCCACGAGCGCCGTGAGCATCAGTTGGGCGAGCCAGGACTCCTGCATGACGTCCAGGGGCTCACTTCTCGTGGACGTTGCGGCCAGGCCTGGAGAGCTTCAACGTAGCTTCCACGTTGGCCGACGCTCGACGACGACGAGGAGCCCTCTCATCACATGCAGCAGGGGGCTGTTACTAGTGGGAAAGCGGGTGTGTAGTGAGGGATATCATTGCCAAGGCCGCGATACCTCCCAGGATGTCACGGCCCGTTGTTTCTTCTTTCAATGCGCACCTGGTCCTTTCCCCCCCCCATGTCCGCGAATATGCCTCGTCCCATGGTTCACGCCCCTTCCCGTCTTCCCGTCTTCATCATCACCGTCTTACTTCTGGAGCAGCAGCAGCAGCAAACCCGTGGGAGACGGAGGCCGAGCATCGCGCGGCACCCGCCGCTTCACCCGCGCAAGTCCCTCCCCCTTCCTTGTCCTCCTACTCATTATCATCTTCCTCCTGTTTCCTCTTTTGCTCCACCTCACGTTCCTTGTCCTCCTCCCCTTCCTCCTGTTGTTGTTTCCTCCTCGTCCTTCCCCCTTCCCTTCCTCCCTCCCCCACCCCTTCCTCTTCCTCTTTTCCCTCCTCCTCCTCCTCCTCCTCCTCCTCCTCCTCCTCCTCTTCCTCCTCCTCTTCCTCCTCCTCCTCCTCCTCCTCCCCCCCTCCCCCTCCTCCCTCCCCTCCGCCTCCTCCTCTCCTCCTCCTCCTCCTCCTCCTCCTCCTCCTCCTCCCTCTCCTCCTCCTCCTCCTCCTCCTCCTCCTCCTCCTCCTCCTCCTCCTCCTCCTCCTTGCCCTTATCATCATCATCATCATCATCATCATCATCATCATCATCATCATCATCATCATCATCATCATCATCATTATTATTATTATTATTATCATCATCATCATCAACCCCACCAGGCTGACCATTGTCAAAGAGTCGATGCACTCGGCTGCTGCGAAGATTCGTGAGCAGCAATCGGTGGGTGGCCACATGGATTCTCATGCGAAGCTCCACCTTGCCATGCTCTGTATGCGGGGACTGCGAGTTGGGAACATGTCATTTGTTCGGCGTGCTACTCTTGCTTGTCCTGATCTTGCTCCTCTGGCTTCCCAGTCAAATTCCGACGGTGCTGCCTCCTTGGAAAAGCATTGCCACGATCTTGCCAACGCTGCTTTGGACGATATGGAAGCGGAGCTGTGGGCTGATGATGAAACTGACAGGGCCTCCCAGCAAGTTCGCTGGGCGGCTATCCAGTTCAGACGGTCTCTATGGCGACCCCACCGTCCCCGGTCTTGTTTGCAGGCAGTGGTAAGTCCTGATGGAACTCCTCCGTCTTCGATGGACGAGTCCCTGGAGAATCTCACTGACTTCTGGGAGGAGGTGTTCAGCCCCGTCGATCCCGACCCTTCAGCTATGGCGCAGGTCCGCAGATTCATCATGCCTTGCTCTACTAAAGTTGACGGCATTTTTGTCGGACTGGTTTGCGACGATGCTTGCTCGTAAGAGCCCGTCTGCCCCGGGAATCGATGGTACTACTTGGGATGCATGGGCCAACGCCGGTTGCACTGCCCATGCCTTGTTGTACGACGTGTTCTCAATGTTGGCCGAGACTCCCAACACCGTCCCGGACTTCAATGCCAGTTGGATCGCTGCTCTTCCCAAGGGGGACAAGTCTGAGGATCTGGCTATGATTCGGAGGTTTCCGAGCGAGACTCGCCCACTCAACCTTCGCAATATAGATAACAAGGCGATTGCCTGCGCAGCGAACTTGTTTTTGGCATGCTCTGCACGCGATACAGTCCACCCATCCTCCCGCGGCTTCTTGGGTGGCCGAAAGGTGCAGGACAACATTTACGAGATTGAGGGCTTTGGGATCATCTGCTGTATCCTGGGCGTCTTGTACCTGGCCCTCACGATGTTCGACATCAAGGCTGCTTTTCCGAGCCTGATTTGGTCTTGGATCTTCTTTGTTTTGGAGACGGCTAGATTTCCTGGTTTTCTAATCCAGGTTTTGCGGGAACTCTATCAGGACTGCCGTGCTCACTTTCGTCTGGGTGGCTCACATGGGAGATGGTTCCTGATTTTACGTGGGGTGCGCCAGGGCTGCCCCGCGTCTGGTTCATTATTCGCCATCGTCTTCGACCCGTTTGTCCGCCTCTACCACCACCTCCTTGACCCGCATCTTTGCCTGATTGTATCTTACGCCGACGATCTTGCAATGGGGCTTCGTGATCTCCTCTCCCATCTCGCGCTGCTGGTTCCTGCTCTGCAGCTGATGGGAGCTGCTGCCGGTCTGTGCATCCACCCCGGCAAGACTGTAATCGTTTGGTTGGGCAGTCTCAGCCTGGATGCAGCGCGGTCCCGCATCGCCGCTGAAGTGGGATATTTTGCCTCAGCCAAGGTTTCGCTCTCTGGAGTGCTGCTCGGCGTCGCGCTGGGGGACAACGGCTGCGCGCTGAGCTGGTTGAAGCCTGCGGCCAAGTTCTGGGAGACGATCGTCCCGCGCATGCAAGTGAGGGGCGGCTTTTGCAAGGCCATGCGAAATGTGAATTGCTACGGAATGCCGATTCTCAGATTTGTTAGCTCTTTCTACCTCCCTTCCCCTGCCGCTTTGAAGACTTGTTCTAGAGCTGGGCAAGTGTTGTGTGGCTTGCCTCGGCATGCGATCTCTCCTCGTGCGATGTCGGCTCTGAGCGGTTTTGGGCTCCCTGAGTTACCTCGCCTTGAGCTTCTTTCGCGCGCTGCTATATTTCGTAATTCGGACACCGATGTGTTTCGGACTGTATGTCGTGAGATTGACCGCATCTGGCTCGATGACGAGCGGGTTCTTTGGCCGGCTCGCATGCGTTGGATTCAGTCCTCTGCCATTTACCAAGCGAGAGCGGTTCGCGATTCGCTGAATTCGATACCCCAGGTTAGGATGATATCCGAACCGTCTTCCAAGCAGTTGTACAGGATTCTCCAGCGACAGGCCCCAGACAGCAGTCTTCGTGAAATGATCGGTGCCAGGCTTGTGAATTGGTCCCTGGTCCCTGCCCCTTCCCCCTCTGCCCCCGCCCTCGTGGTCGCCCGCCTCCGGACTCTCAGCCGAAAAGTTAAGCCCGGGATCGTCTTTCATTTAATTGGCACAAGTTGTAACGGCTGGCATACGTCCGCGCGGTTTTCCCAGAACGTCTTGGCATGTAGATTCTGCGGCAGTGTAGGCGGTGACAAACTTCAGCACTATCTTGAATGCCCCACTGTCTTGAGTTTTGTCAACGAATTAACGCTCTTCCAGTGGGCTCCAGACGGCCCGCCCATGTTTGTGAAGAAGTGGTGGCTTGCTGTGCACCCCAATCACACCCTAAATAGTTTGATGCAAGCAGCCTTGGTCAACGAGGCGGTTTGGGGGGTGTTTCAATACGCTAGAACGTCCCAGGCGGTGTGCCCTACCGCCCAGTGGATTTCTCACTTCCGCTCGAGACTCCGCGCAACTGCTCGCTTGGATTCTCGGGTTCGGCACTTCATTCACGAAATGCTCAGGTAGGAGCGGGGTGCGTCTCAGTCGTGATTCATTCTGCTTCCTGCATCACAGTCGTGATGCGCCACTTCCGTTTCACTGCTCATTCTCTGTGTCTCTGTCGTGTTGCGTTCTTCCTTCTGCTTCTCTGTTGTCTTCCGTCTTCTTGTCTTTCTTCTGTCTTTCTCTCTCTCTCTCTTGCCCTACTGCTTTCCTCGTGCTCCGGCTGCTTCTTTTCTGTGTGCGCCTCCCGTCATCAATTTTTTATTGCCGGTTATTTTCCTATCGTGGTTTTCGGTGAAGACCTCGTGCAGTGGAGCATTCGATCACCATCATCATCATCATCATCATCATCATCATCATCATCACCATCATCACCATCATCATCAGCAGCAGCATCATCATCAGCATCATCATCATCGGTACGATCAGCACCATCATCATCATCCTCATCATCATCATCAGCAGCATCATCATCATCGGCAGCAGCAGCAGCATAATCCGTGTCCCTCTCCTCTCTCCCTCACTCAGTCGTCATTTCTCCCTCTTCCCTTCTCCCTCCCCCTCCATCCCCTCCGACTCCGCCCTCCGCCTCTTCCCCCCTCCACCTCTCCTCCAGACGGCGCTGCGGTTCTCGGCGCTCCTTCCCACCGAGGCGATCCGATCCGACCCGTCTCCGCTTCGCTCCTCGCCCCCCCCCCCGTTTCCGACGACGGCGGCGGCGACGGCGACGACTCGCCCCGCAGGCCAGGCGCCCGCCCCCCTCCGCCCCGCGCAGGTCATACAGCACCAGCAGGCCATCATGCAGCAGACGCAGCTGATGGGGCAGCAGGCGCCCCGCCCCCAGCGGGGGCCCGCCGACCTCCCTTGGGGCTCCCCTGTTCCGAGGCGGGAATTAATAATTACATGACCACCGCCTGGAGGGTCAGTTTTCGGAGCCTCGGCAGGCGGTGGATATGGACATGTTCGGGCCCCCGGGGGGCGGGATATATCCAGATCCACCGCCCGCTGGGGCACCAGGACGTCGATTCCCAGGCGGTGGATATGGATAACTCTCCGCCTCGCACTTGTGCTCCCCTCCTCCACCTTGGGCGTCCCCTGGGCCGCGCCCCCGGGCCAGCGCTGGTGGCGCTCTCGGCCCGCGCTGGTTGGACTCCGCCCGGCCGTGCGCCTCTCGAGTTCCCGCCACGGCCGCCGGGCGGGGCGGCGGGACGGGTGGGTCCACGCTCGGCCAGGCCTCGGCAGTCTGGGGCCCCTCCCGCTTCGAGCCGGTGTGCGCCACGGTGCCAACCCGGAGGTCCAACGTGTTGGAAAGCGTCGAGGCGGAGGCTTTTCGCAGCCTGCAGCCTCCATATGGGGCCCTCACCAGGCCCCAGGACTTGTCAAACAGCGGCTCGGGACGAAAAGCTGGTCCTCGGGAACGGGTCGAGGCTTCCGTGGGCCCTGCATGGAACAAAGCACGACGTCGGGTCTCTGGGACAGGGCGTGCAGCACAGCATTGAGTCACGTAGCGCATGTCGATCGGGCGTGTCCGGGCTACAGCCGCATCCAGAGACGGGTGGGCCTCGCGTGGCTCGCACTGCGGAGCATGGTCCTGGCCAGGCTGAGGCGGGGAGGTCCGCGGTGCAGATCGTTCTCCTCCTCGTCATCATCAGCAGCAGCATCATCCTCGTCATCCCCCTCCTCATCATTAGCAACATCAGCATCAACATCAACATCAGCATCATCATAATCAGCAGCATCAGCATCAGCATCAGCATCAGCATCAGCATCATCATCAACATCAACATCAACATCAACATCAATAGCATCATCAGCAGCTGCAGCATTAGCATCAGCATCATCATCCCCATCCTCCTCATGCTCCTCCTCCTCCTCCTCCTCCTCATCATCATCATCATCAGCAGCAGCAGCAGCAGCAGCATCATCAACCACCCCCCCCCGCACGGCCTGGGAGAGGGGGAGGCTTGGGAGGGCATTCGTCCCTGCGCGCTCAGCCCGCTGGCCTGTCGTACCACCGAGCGTATTTTCGGCACGCGAGCATGAGACGGCGGCCGGCCTGCGAGAGCCGAAAAGGGTCCTCCTTCTCCCGCCTTTGAGGACAGCACAACCCCCCCCCACTCCCGCCAGGATCCCCAACCCAAGCCTTGTGGTCCAGGCGGTCTTGGCTGGGGGGTAGGGGTGTTCTTTTGGGGTTCTTGCGGGCCAACCCCCCCCACCCCCAACCAGGACCCCCTGGATCACCAGGTCGGGAGTGGGGGTACTGACGGGAGTGGGGGCAGGTTGTGTTGTCCTCAACCTTCGCCAGGCGGTCCGCCTCCGAGTTGCCATACTTACCTCAAACGATCGCAAACATGGATCAAGGGGGCGTGGATAAGCGACGGGTCCCGTTCCCATGGGAAATCGCGGATTTCTGACGCCGAGGCGGCACCGGCCGCGTTTTGGGGAGGGCAGCTCCCCCGATCCATGGATTTGGCGACCGCGCGCCAAATCCATGGATCGCTAATCCATGTTTGCGCCCCCCCGACAAAATTGAGGGTTCATCATCGATGCTGCAGCGCACCTTCCCATTCCAAGCCTCCGCACCACACGTTCCCACGGCCGTTTGCTCTCACGATGGAGGACCCTGCCAGAAAGACCAGAGCCACATGTCAGGAGGGGAAAAAACATACAGACACAATTAATCGTCGTCTGCCAGGAAAAAAATGGGAAAATATGGGAAGTGGGGGGGAAGACGGAAATTAAAAACAAATGGGAAAATATGGGGAATCCGGTTATTTGTGTGTATTTATGTGTGTGTGTGTGTGTGTGTGTGTCCTTGGGCCCCTTCAACATGGGCGTGCCATCCAAGCGGAGACCCCGTTCTGCACAAGAGCTACTCCACATCGCCCTAGCCATCGTGGCGCATGCGGCAAATCCGCCACCGTGCCAGCGGAGGACGCCGCGCGCCGACCCTTGGAGCACCGCCGTCGGGCCGTCACGCACAGCACTCGTCGTCTCCACGTCTTGAGGCACTCTCGGGAGCATTAATATGGCCATCCTGCGGTGGACTAGGGCTTCTGTGGGGACGTATTGGGGTTACTTTGGGGCCCTGGCCATCTTTGGGCTCGCTGAGGCCGTCTCGTGCACTCCTGGCCGTTGGGCCATCCTGGGGCCTTCTTGGGGCTCAGTGCGCCCCTCCCCTTGGGGGTGCCCGGGCACTGCAGGGAAGCCGAGGTTGGAGCGAAGCGGGTGCAAAGCGAAGCACATGGAAACTTTGGTGGAATACGTGCGTTTCCGAGGGCCTGTTGGTGACGGATTTGGCGACCTTGGTGGCGGCCTTCCCGGGCCGTCTTGGCAGCCTTGGAGAGTCCGGGATAGCGCAATGGAGGTGCCGGGCTGCCCAGGAAGCCTCGGGAGGGAGGGAGGGGAGAGGCCCTACCAGGCAGCATTGGGGATTATACCTCGCCTCGAAGTGCCCGTGGGGCACGGTGGCGAACTGATAAGACGTGCCATCGAGCAGGGCCATTAATGTAAGGACATGTTCAGCGAGAGCACCGTTTTGTCAAAGACCGCTCTCCAACTGCGCAGTGCTGCGTAATGCCACAAGCCAAGCCATACAAGAGAAAATGGTGTATCAAGCAAGAACTACAGTTTGAAACATGAGTTGCCCACAAAGATGCAGTCCTTTCGAGCGGGCGCCACATTTATAGAAGGAGCCGCCTTCCATCCATGGCATGCTGGCACGTGTTAGAATAACCTTGCGCGGCGCGAAAGCGAGAGCCACGTGTTCACAGCGGCCCACCCTCCATCCATGCACTTGACAGAAGTTTGTGGGGCCAGTGTGCGTGGCGCTCAGGCGAGAGCCATGCCCACTGCGCCCTCCATGCGCTCCATGCGCGCAGCTCGTAGACGTGTTGAGGCACATGTGCACGGCTCTGAGGTGATCGCTACGCGTTGGTCACCACACCACCCGCCTTGCATCCTTGCAATTGAGACGCCGCAGATGGAAAGCCAACGCCTGGCAGGATTACTGACACGTCTGGTGATGGGCCGAGGATGAGTCATCACCGACCAGCAAGAGGGAGACTGAGGTGCATGGGGAGGGGCAGGGCGAGGTGGAGCAAAGGCAGGAGGGGGAGGGGGGGAGGAGCAGGAACAGGAAGAGGGGCAGCAGGAGGATAGAAAGGATGAGGGGGCGAGAGCAGGAGTAGGAGGAGAAGGGATACGGGAGGGGGGGGCATGAAGAGGAGACGGAGGAACAAGGGAAGCAATCGGAGGTCGAAAGAGGAGGAGGTCCCCTTTGACCAGGTCTTGCGCCTTCGGCCCTTTCCGCCGCCGCCGATGGCCATTGCTTCTCCTCCTCCTCCTCCTCCTCCTCCTCCACCTCCTCCTCCTCTTCCTCCTCTTCCTCCTCCTCCTCCTCCTCCTCATCCTCCTCCCCTGCCTCATCCTCCTCCTCAACCTCCCCATCCTTCCCCCGATCATCCTTCACCCCTTCTCACATGCCTCCTCCTTCCTCCTCCGCCTCCTGCTCATCATCCTCCTCCTCTTCCTCACATCCTTCCCCGCTGCCGTGGGGCGCAATCCCACCGCGGGCCAGCGACAAGCCACACTCCAAAAGAAGATGTGCGCAACGGTTCGCGGCACATCCCGGTTCTCTCTTCTTGACCCTATCTGACCTCTCTTGTGGCAGTGCGCTCCTCCCCTCCTTCCCCCTCCCTCCTTGCTCCCCCCCCGCGCGGACCTGTCCCGAGGCGCGCTCTCAACAGGATTTCGAGGCGGATCCAGCCGTGGCGATGAGGCCTCCCTAGGGACCGAAGAGGCAAAGCGTCTGACTGAGTCTCCTTCCTCCTCGGCCGTCCTCCCGTGAAGGCCTCCGCACTTGGAGGCCCCGGGAGGTCCCTAAAGGCCTCCAGGGGTCCTCGGGCGTCGCCAGAGCCCACCGCGTCTGCGCCCCCCGAGGCCTCGGAGGCACGACGCCGCCTGCAACGCTCGAACACCTCGACCCTCCTCCTCGCCGAGGCCTGGGAATCGGCACCAACACCAGCACGGATCGGCGGCGCGCTCGGGGGGAGGTGAGAAGTGGCGGGCCTGCTCAGAGGGCTCGGAAGTCCCCCGGCCTTCTGAGAAGTTGTCTAAGCTTTCCCCGACGACACCGAAGATCTTCGCAGAAGGCCGGAGAGTGCCTCTGAGAAGCCCCGCTGCCCTCTGAGAAGGCCTTCTCCTTCTTACCTCGCTCGCCGCCAATCGATGATCCTCAGGACGTGTGTTAGCCCAACGTGTGTTAACCCCGTTCGGCCTGTGTCGGCCATCGTTACGCCACGTATGTCGTATTGAAGGGCTTCGATGGACCAGCACACGTTGGCGCTAACACACGTTCTGAGGATCATCGAGCCAAACAGAGGGAGTTGCCTCCACCGATGGAGGGTGAGACTAGGTGTTGGTGCTGGAGGTGCTCTTTCGGCCACCTGGGAGGCCCGAGGCTTACCACCACCGAGATCGGGATCGTCCTCCCTCGGTGGAGGCAACCGCCGACTGGTGTTGGTGCCAACCTCTAGGCTTGTGAAAACGATCACTGGAGAGGAGGCATGTTGCCAAACAGTTCCCAGATGTCCAAAACATGTTTTAAACCGATGTCAAGCATGTAGACACGTGCGTAAACCATGTGTTATTATAACGTGTTTACTTCAACGATAGGACTCTTCGAGTGTCCATTGTCATGGCATCCACAACGCTAGGCTTCCTCCTCGGCATCCAGAGGCATCGGGACGCCGCCCGAGATCCCCGGGGGCCTGCTGAGGGGGGGGGGGTCCTGAGCGTCGCCGCCGAGGGGCCTCCCTTCCCCCGCAC